TGCTCGGCTGTCCAGGGTAGGTACTGTGCCCCATACCACCAGAGCGCCTGGTAGGCATCTTCTAGCCACAACTCCTGCCATACTAGGTGTTCCAATTTCCTCACCCATTCCTCTAGGGGCTGCTCTCCCAGGAAGGGCATCCGCAGGGCTACTCGCTTCTGCAACCGCTGGTCTTCCTTGGGGAGTCTCTTGCCCGCTGGTACTCCACAATACCCAGTGCCTGGTACCAGATGCCTTTACGGACTGCATCTCGGTCATCCATGGCACCCTCGTCATACTCCACTGCTGGTTCCATGCTGGTGCTGTCAGGGTCGCTGTACTGGAACATGCGTTGCCCTCAAATTGTAAAATCCAAAGAAATGGTGTCTCCTGTAGCTGTCCTTCTGGTTGTAGGAACGATCCCGCCGCTTGCCACCAATTGTAACGGACCGTTTAGCATAAAAGGGGAGAAAACCACTTAGACGATAATCCCCTTTTTCAGAGACAGGCACAGCTACTGAATAATCACCAAAACTCACGAACCGCCAATAAGTGAATGCTCCAAACTCCCGAACGGCATACAAGGGAATAAGGTAGCACTTCAAATAAACGAACAGGAACCATACGAATAGCTGCTAGCAGGCTAACAGGAAAAGCTTCCAAGCGGCTTACACTCCTGGCAATCAGTCCTTAGCAGCATACAGTAAATCCCCCCAAAGACGAGACAAGGCTCCGTGTTGAGGGTCAAGCAGTGGTCTGTTTAATGAGGGCTACCTGCCCAGCTTTTATGCAGGTCTCCCACCTGGTGGACACTCCCCTAGGGGACCAAATGGGAGACTGTGACAAGGGACAGACAAGTATACAAAAAGGACACACAGTCACAGTATATTCCCACAATGCATCCTGGCTTCCTCCCCTCTGCCCTGGGAGATAATTGGGAAGTAACTCAATTATCTCCCAAGACAAAGGCAAAACTCCATTACACACGTGGGAACACAAAACCAGCATAACACTTTAAAATGCACAAAGTAACATTTACTACATAAACCACAGACATGTAACATATCCCCAGATAGCTCAGGTCTGAGTGCACATTATTAGGTGAATGGCACTCAGACTACACGAATACAGTTTAATCGCCATGGAGCCAAAGTCTTTACAGTCAGTTTCATACGAATGGGCTCCATGGGATTCCTATCTGGGGTATAAGATATTCACACAAAAATACCGAACACCGGGTCATTCGTGTGCTTTCACCGAACAAGAAGGGAGGTCGGCGGCTTCAGCGGTGTTCGCGCAAAACTGTGTCCGATTTTAGTTCCATGAAAATAGAGGCGAACACCGCTGTTCATTCGTATGGTTTAAAATGGCCGCGACCTCGTGTTCGGGATACGAACGGCGGCCACCCAGCGTTCATCAATTAAGCTGCGGTTAACCGCAGCTTCAGGGAGGTTAATTGCCGGCACACTCCAGCTCCCAGGTGGTCCAGTCATTCGTACGGTTGTTCGGTAGATTGAAACTACCGAACAACCGGCAGAAAAGCATGAATATGGCTTTTCTGCATGGAAAAATTCAGTCTTTTAAAAGGGGCCATAGTCCAAAGGCAGCAGGCGAGCAACCAGGCTTCTCCAATGCAATGTGGCGAGATTGGTCTCGTCACAGTATCGGATATTGCAATCAGTATCGGATATTGCAATCAGTATCACATATTGGAATCAGTATCAGATATTGCAATCAGTATTGGATATCGCAATCAGTATCGGATATTGGAATCAGTATCGGATATTGCAATCAGTATCGGATATTGCAATCAGTATCACATATTGCAATCAGTATCGGATATCGCAATCAGTATCGGATATTGGAATCAGTATCGGATATTGCAATCAGTATCAGATATTGATAAATATTGTATTTTACACCTGCTGCAAATCCTTCACTACACAATTTCTCAGCAAATTCCCAAAAATCTAAAAAAGGGACCATATATTGCAGGACAATTTCCTTGACTTCATGACCTACTGATAACCATTTATAGAATTAAAAACTTAGAGTAATTTACTTAATTCACAATTCCATGTGAATACCACATTTAAGGCCAGAGCAGCCAAACTGAAAACATAAGGCTGTCAAGATTGGAAAATATAAAGGAAGGTTAGTAAGAGAACCAACCACCTAAAATAAACCAAAAAGTGCTGAGCGCTGAAATAATATATACTTACCCCTAGTAATAGCGGTATTGTATCTTGGAGCTCAACGTATATAGGGGGAAAAAAGAGGGGGGAGAGAGAAAATAATCCAATGTTGGAGTATATAAAAATTCAGTGATTGAAAAAATAGGGGTCAACTCACAAATAAAGAGCTAAGCAAGGACTGGCTCAAATCTTGTTCACTTTGGTGCAGAGACAGAAAGAGATCTCTAAGTTAGTATGTACAGACCAGCCATGTATAAAACATATAGCACATGTTAATTGCTCACCTTGTCAAGAGCCTGTGAAATATACCTGGCTCTAGGTTAAGTAGCTGAAAACATACCTGACTTAAAGAATGTTTCCAATTCGACTATTTCGGCCGTAAATTTGTAATTCACTTTGAATTATTGACAATTCTCACTATAGTGAATAGCCCTATTCATTTAGACCAAGATCTACATTTTTTAGTTGCGCCGACTGATTTCTAAACAGGCGTATTGCAGCTGAAAGAATAAATACTGGGAGTTTTATTGCGATAGAATT